TTTCTTTTTTTTCTTTTTTAGTTTTGAGAATGAAAATTATTAAAATACCCTTAACCTTAAAACTTAGAATCCATGATATATAAGGATATTTTTGTCTACTAAAACCTGGTACACATTGCTAAAATGTACCAACTGAAAAACAGGCGTACGCGCGTTAGCAAACCCCATATATATATATATATATTGTAATTGTATATGCTAATTTTTATTTTACAGTTTAATTTATAAAATAAAATCATCCCACCTTTTAGAAAAATAATCAAGATTTTAAAATTTTATTTTTCTTATTGTTGAAATTTGCAGTGTTATATCTTGAAAGTAAAATCAAACATTCAGATTATCTTAATTAATGACAAAATTTTTAAATATTTAATAAAAAAAATAATAGTAGGTCGTATTAATTGATTATAAAATCAAACTTTATTGACTGAATTAAAAAATGTAAAATATTTAAAATTTAAGTAATCACTCAAATTAAAATACATAATAAAAAATATTTAACTTTATAAATACTAACTAAATATATTATTAATGCTCTAAGAAAATAATTGTGTTTCATCCTCTTGTCAAAATTAAAATAATGAGTTTAAAAAATAAAGATTTGCTATTTCTTTTGCACTATGAGGAATTGAAGCACCTTTTTTGTTCTTTAATGGTGTTAGAGAGAGAAAAAGGTGGCAAGTAGTTAATGGTGAGAGAAATAGAAAAGAAAGAGAAAAATGTGAAAGAAAGAGAGCATATGAGAGAGATAAAAAGTGTCTTCTTAACATGCCAACGAAATAAGCATTTAAGTCTAATTATAATATGTATGATTTAGTCTTTTTACTAAAAGAGCCTGAAAATTACTAAAACAAATATTATAAGTATAAATGTACATTCATATAGAATTATGCTTTTTAAATTGTTACATTAAACTAAAAATCTAATCTTACAGTTGGGAATCTAAGTGACTCTAAGTCTCACATTGAATATAAATGACCTATTAATTCATTGTATTAAGATTTTGGATAGAGAGTGATGTCAATCCCTTGTATGATTGGACTTATCTCTCATTGGTGTTTGTGACGTCTGAACTTCCTCCTCATTAAACCCAACCGTTTCAACAATATTAAAATACATTTTATAAGTATTTTATTTTTTTATTATCTGAATTAAATTAAAATTTTGTTGATTTTTAATACACAAAGTTATTAGTACACATTAATTGAAAAAAATGTCAAGAATTAAATCTAAATTTTAATTTATAATATATAAATAAAAATTATTATCATCATATGAGTTAATTTTGTGATGTGAATTAAATTTAAACTTACTTTATAGTAAAATTTGTTAGATTTATGGTGTTATATTTACAAATATATTATCTCATCTATTTTAATTTGTACTATATAAATGAGAATAATAATCATTTTACATGTAAACATCAATCATCCATTATCAATACGTTTTTTTTAAATCTTAACTATACAATTTGTTTATTAGATTTTGGTAATATGGATAATTTTACTCTCAAGCTTGTTACGTTAAAACACTTGAATTAGAATGTTCTATTTGTTGGGTCTAACAAGAAGGAGGTTGTGAGACACAAACATCTATAACATTAAAGTCCAACCATATAATGTATTGACACTACTCTTTACCCAAAACTTTAAATCAATGGGTTAATGAGTCTTTCACCTTTATATAATGCTCTATTTTCTCATTTCTATCTAATGTGTGGGATTTAGACTCACACTTATATTCCCACACTATTTACTTCCAAAAGTTAAGTTTTTTGTTCTATAACCAATATCTCATATTTTAGCTTTTGGACACAATTTGCACTTGCATTAGAACACTTTTGAGTTCAATAATGAGGTTCAATCTATTACTAAACAGTTAAATGCTACTAAAACAAATTAGGTGATATTCCTTTATTTCTGTACATGTTTGGTCCTCTTAAATGTGCAAAGCAAGTAACAACAATTGCTCTATAATGTAGCCATTTTGAACTTTTTAATGCACATATGAGAGTGACTTCTTAGCAATACAAAGTTCAAAACCTCTAAAACTCCATTATTTCCATGAGATGCATAAAGTTATCATATCACAGATAATTTTAATGTGTGAATTACATCATCTTCGTACAAAAGTAAGTTTATATAAGGACATAAATTTCATCCTTAAGGAATATTTTTGTATTCATTGTACAATTTTCTGAAAAGTAAAAAGAGACCGTGAATAATGAAAAAATTTATGTGATAAATCATTGAACTTATTGCTTCCAAATGGAGGAGATTTATTGAAGAATCAGAATTTGGTTTAATGTATGTCTGAAAAAGATTATATAGTTTTGCGTTTTTTACGGATTTGTTTTTTATACTATTTTAAAAAAAATTATCCATAAAATTTTATGTTTATATAATCGTATGTTCATCTTTTATTTTTATTTTATCAGATTTTGTTTGTATTTTAACATACTCTAAAATCATAGCATATTTCAATTACAACTACATTTTATATTTCATTCAAATTAAAGTTAAAAATTCATACTCCATCCTTTTCAATAACTTACTTTGATTACTTTTTAAAGGATATACACCACTTAATTGGGTTTTTCCCTTTCGAAAATGATGTTTAGAATAAAAAAGTATTCTCCAGTCCCATTGTTTGAAAATGAATTAGGTTTGTTTATTTTTTTTTTCTTACGTTTTAATGGTTTTTAGAGACAGAAAAGGAAATGGGATCTCTTATGAAAGAGTCGCAAAAAATCGCAAGAATAAATCCTTTAAGAGCATTGGATTTATTTGGACATTTGACCTACGTCTATTAAAGTTTAGAGAAAGAGAATTAGGGATTTTATTATCATACGAAGTTTTCATCTTTTTAATCATATAGAGAAAGGGACATTAGACTTACTTACTAAGATTTTAACCTATCGATTTTAATTATCATATTAATACCGAATTCAGCCACCAGTTTAAACCATATTTCTTATTTATATTATGATTTCTTATAGTTTTGGATAGTAGGATTATTGTTACCAATTTTAGGATAATTTGAATTATTATTTGTTTTGTGATACTTTGATCTCTTTTCCTCTTTCTAGCTGAAATGGGTGGCAACAACCAAATGAGATTATTGAAGGCCACAACTGCACTATTGCACCTAAACCAATACAAATTATTCAAACCAACACCTTTATTAGGTTCCCCATGGAAGATCTAAGCATAAACTTGAATTGAAGACATGAGTACAACTCTTTGAGATTGTCTAACTTTTTTCAAGGAGATTATAAAATAAACAAGTATAAATCAGCTTTTAATTTGTTTAGATCTCTAAAACTATTTTTTAGATTATATTACATTACTCATTTTTTCAATCTATTACAAACTGACTAAATATATATATTTTTCCCACCAGAAAAATAGAAAGAAGCTGCAAAATATATATATTCAAAGTACTATTTCCACTCAATCTAACACAACTGCAATTTTCATATGAGCATTTAATTTTCATTTCTCTTATTTATTTTTTTTCACTAAGATACACAGCACATGCCTCATTAGAGTTCATTAACCTTTATTGAAGCAAATATTTGCAGACAGCGCTGACAAATTGCACCCTTTGCTAGCTAGCTTTGTGATCACTTGCAGCCACCAGCTGCAAATCCAATCTTGGAATTGGCAACATCATAAGCTACCTTAAATGTCTGTTGTTGGTAATTTCCAATAATGGAAATGGGGTTTGCGGTAGGAGCAAGGGCCAAACAAGTAAGACCCTTCTCAATTTCTATAAGGGAGTTATGAGCTTGAAGTGCTAAACCAGCACCCCCACGAAAAACCAATTGAATCTCAGGCACTCTTGCCATTCCTTTAACACTCCCCCTGAAGCAAGTATCCAATATGGAAAACCCTGGGGCTTGTGCATACTTTTTGGACATGATCTTCACAAAAGATTCTTGCAATGCATTGTAAATAGCTTCAGGTAGCCTTGTAATTACTGTGCCAGAGTCTATAATAGTAGGCACATTGTAGCTTGAGGCAGAAACTTCTATTGGCTTTCCAGCCACAGTAATGGTTGTCAAACCAAGAAAGTATAGGCTTGGAATCTTTGGATTCTTCAACAAGGGAGTGAACTTGTACGGTAATGATGTCAATGATGAGGTTCCAATGGACAACGAACCTGATAGGGAAGAGTTAGGTTGAGAAAAAGATGTGGGAAGGCAATAGGAGAAAGCATTGCCATATTTTTTTGACAATTGTGCAAGCATGGAGAGCTTGTCATTGGCTAGACCTATAATACCAGCAGCCCTTCCAAACAACCCTTGATTGTCCTGACCACAGCCATATACAAAAGCTGATGATCCCTCTGATGGGGATAAGGTTAGAAAATCTTGACTCAAATAGCCATTTGAGAAAGAATTGTCACCATAGCTTGCTTTGTACACACAAGCTCCAGTTGCATTTGAGCAACTTGGAGCATTCAGTGTGGAGGCCTTGAGAGAGGAACACTGAGGGGATGAACATGGAATTCTTTTGTAGGTCTTGGAGGTGGAAGGGGTGAAAATAGGGTCAANTTTCTTTTTTTTCTTTTTTAGTTTTGAGAATGAAAATTATTAAAATACCCTTAACCTTAAAACTTAGAATCCATGATATATAAGGATATTTTTGTCTACTAAAACCTGGTACACATTGCTAAAATGTACCAACTGAAAAACAGGCGTACGCGCGTTAGCAAACCCCATATATATATATATATATTGTAATTGTATATGCTAATTTTTATTTTACAGTTTAATTTATAAAATAAAATCATCCCACCTTTTAGAAAAATAATCAAGATTTTAAAATTTTATTTTTCTTATTGTTGAAATTTGCAGTGTTATATCTTGAAAGTAAAATCAAACATTCAGATTATCTTAATTAATGACAAAATTTTTAAATATTTAATAAAAAAAATAATAGTAGGTCGTATTAATTGATTATAAAATCAAACTTTATTGACTGAATTAAAAAATGTAAAATATTTAAAATTTAAGTAATCACTCAAATTAAAATACATAATAAAAAATATTTAACTTTATAAATACTAACTAAATATATTATTAATGCTCTAAGAAAATAATTGTGTTTCATCCTCTTGTCAAAATTAAAATAATGAGTTTAAAAAATAAAGATTTGCTATTTCTTTTGCACTATGAGGAATTGAAGCACCTTTTTTGTTCTTTAATGGTGTTAGAGAGAGAAAAAGGTGGCAAGTAGTTAATGGTGAGAGAAATAGAAAAGAAAGAGAAAAATGTGAAAGAAAGAGAGCATATGAGAGAGATAAAAAGTGTCTTCTTAACATGCCAACGAAATAAGCATTTAAGTCTAATTATAATATGTATGATTTAGTCTTTTTACTAAAAGAGCCTGAAAATTACTAAAACAAATATTATAAGTATAAATGTACATTCATATAGAATTATGCTTTTTAAATTGTTACATTAAACTAAAAATCTAATCTTACAGTTGGGAATCTAAGTGACTCTAAGTCTCACATTGAATATAAATGACCTATTAATTCATTGTATTAAGATTTTGGATAGAGAGTGATGTCAATCCCTTGTATGATTGGACTTATCTCTCATTGGTGTTTGTGACGTCTGAACTTCCTCCTCATTAAACCCAACCGTTTCAACAATATTAAAATACATTTTATAAGTATTTTATTTTTTTATTATCTGAATTAAATTAAAATTTTGTTGATTTTTAATACACAAAGTTATTAGTACACATTAATTGAAAAAAATGTCAAGAATTAAATCTAAATTTTAATTTATAATATATAAATAAAAATTATTATCATCATATGAGTTAATTTTGTGATGTGAATTAAATTTAAACTTACTTTATAGTAAAATTTGTTAGATTTATGGTGTTATATTTACAAATATATTATCTCATCTATTTTAATTTGTACTATATAAATGAGAATAATAATCATTTTACATGTAAACATCAATCATCCATTATCAATACGTTTTTTTTAAATCTTAACTATACAATTTGTTTATTAGATTTTGGTAATATGGATAATTTTACTCTCAAGCTTGTTACGTTAAAACACTTGAATTAGAATGTTCTATTTGTTGGGTCTAACAAGAAGGAGGTTGTGAGACACAAACATCTATAACATTAAAGTCCAACCATATAATGTATTGACACTACTCTTTACCCAAAACTTTAAATCAATGGGTTAATGAGTCTTTCACCTTTATATAATGCTCTATTTTCTCATTTCTATCTAATGTGTGGGATTTAGACTCACACTTATATTCCCACACTATTTACTTCCAAAAGTTAAGTTTTTTGTTCTATAACCAATATCTCATATTTTAGCTTTTGGACACAATTTGCACTTGCATTAGAACACTTTTGAGTTCAATAATGAGGTTCAATCTATTACTAAACAGTTAAATGCTACTAAAACAAATTAGGTGATATTCCTTTATTTCTGTACATGTTTGGTCCTCTTAAATGTGCAAAGCAAGTAACAACAATTGCTCTATAATGTAGCCATTTTGAACTTTTTAATGCACATATGAGAGTGACTTCTTAGCAATACAAAGTTCAAAACCTCTAAAACTCCATTATTTCCATGAGATGCATAAAGTTATCATATCACAGATAATTTTAATGTGTGAATTACATCATCTTCGTACAAAAGTAAGTTTATATAAGGACATAAATTTCATCCTTAAGGAATATTTTTGTATTCATTGTACAATTTTCTGAAAAGTAAAAAGAGACCGTGAATAATGAAAAAATTTATGTGATAAATCATTGAACTTATTGCTTCCAAATGGAGGAGATTTATTGAAGAATCAGAATTTGGTTTAATGTATGTCTGAAAAAGATTATATAGTTTTGCGTTTTTTACGGATTTGTTTTTTATACTATTTTAAAAAAAATTATCCATAAAATTTTATGTTTATATAATCGTATGTTCATCTTTTATTTTTATTTTATCAGATTTTGTTTGTATTTTAACATACTCTAAAATCATAGCATATTTCAATTACAACTACATTTTATATTTCATTCAAATTAAAGTTAAAAATTCATACTCCATCCTTTTCAATAACTTACTTTGATTACTTTTTAAAGGATATACACCACTTAATTGGGTTTTTCCCTTTCGAAAATGATGTTTAGAATAAAAAAGTATTCTCAAGTCCCATTGTTTGAAAATGAATTAGGTTTGTTTATTTTTTTTTTCTTACGTTTTAATGGTTTTTAGAGACAGAAAAGGAAATGGGATCTCTTATGAAAGAGTCGCAAAAAATCGCAAGAATAAATCCTTTAAGAGCATTGGATTTATTTGGACATTTGACCTACGTCTATTAAAGTTTAGAGAAAGAGAATTAGGGATTTTATTATCATACGAAGTTTTCATCTTTTTAATCATATAGAGAAAGGGACATTAGACTTACTTACTAAGATTTTAACCTATCGATTTTAATTATCATATTAATACCGAATTCAGCCACCAGTTTAAACCATATTTCTTATTTATATTATGATTTCTTATAGTTTTGGATAGTAGGATTATTGTTACCAATTTTAGGATAATTTGAATTATTATTTGTTTTGTGATACTTTGATCTCTTTTCCTCTTTCTAGCTGAAATGGGTGGCAACAACCAAATGAGATTATTGAAGGCCACAACTGCACTATTGCACCTAAACCAATACAAATTATTCAAACCAACACCTTTATTAGGTTCCCCATGGAAGATCTAAGCATAAACTTGAATTGAAGACATGAGTACAACTCTTTGAGATTGTCTAACTTTTTTCAAGGAGATTATAAAATAAACAAGTATAAATCAGCTTTTAATTTGTTTAGATCTCTAAAACTATTTTTTAGATTATATTACATTACTCATTTTTTCAATCTATTACAAACTGACTAAATATATATATTTTTCCCACCAGAAAAATAGAAAGAAGCTGCAAAATATATATATTCAAAGTACTATTTCCACTCAATCTAACACAACTGCAATTTTCATATGAGCATTTAATTTTCATTTCTCTTATTTATTTTTTTTCACTAAGATACACAGCACATGCCTCATTAGAGTTCATTAACCTTTATTGAAGCAAATATTTGCAGACAGCGCTGACAAATTGCACCCTTTGCTAGCTAGCTTTGTGATCACTTGCAGCCACCAGCTGCAAATCCAATCTTGGAATTGGCAACATCATAAGCTACCTTAAATGTCTGTTGTTGGTAATTTCCAATAATGGAAATGGGGTTTGCGGTAGGAGCAAGGGCCAAACAAGTAAGACCCTTCTCAATTTCTATAAGGGAGTTATGAGCTTGAAGTGCTAAACCAGCACCCCCACGAAAAACCAATTGAATCTCAGGCACTCTTGCCATTCCTTTAACACTCCCCCTGAAGCAAGTATCCAATATGGAAAACCCTGGGGCTTGTGCATACTTTTTGGACATGATCTTCACAAAAGATTCTTGCAATGCATTGTAAATAGCTTCAGGTAGCCTTGTAATTACTGTGCCAGAGTCTATAATAGTAGGCACATTGTAGCTTGAGGCAGAAACTTCTATTGGCTTTCCAGCCACAGTAATGGTTGTCAAACCAAGAAAGTATAGGCTTGGAATCTTTGGATTCTTCAACAAGGGAGTGAACTTGTACGGTAATGATGTCAATGATGAGGTTCCAATGGACAACGAACCTGATAGGGAAGAGTTAGGTTGAGAAAAAGATGTGGGAAGGCAATAGGAGAAAGCATTGCCATATTTTTTTGACAATTGTGCAAGCATGGAGAGCTTGTCATTGGCTAGACCTATAATACCAGCAGCCCTTCCAAACAACCCTTGATTGTCCTGACCACAGCCATATACAAAAGCTGATGATCCCTCTGATGGGGATAAGGTTAGAAAATCTTGACTCAAATAGCCATTTGAGAAAGAATTGTCACCATAGCTTGCTTTGTACACACAAGCTCCAGTTGCATTTGAGCAACTTGGAGCATTCAGTGTGGAGGCCTTGAGAGAGGAACACTGAGGGGATGAACATGGAATTCTTTTGTAGGTCTTGGAGGTGGAAGGGGTGAAAATAGGGTCAACTTGCTCATGACAGTAAATAAGACAAGGCTGGCACTGGAGCCAGGAGAGTGAGCTACCAGTGTCAACAATCATGCTAAAATACTTAGCAGGGGTCCCAAGTCCTATTTTCACATAGTAATTGCCTGAACCAATTGATAAACCTGATTTCAGTGGTGTGGTCAGAAGGTTAGGTCCCTTTAGTTTATCAGAAGAGGCAGTGGTGACAGAATTGCTGACACCCTCCTTGTTTGCTAGTATGGATTGAAGAGATCTGACCCTCTCCTCGTCCTTTTTGATCATGTCAGAGAATGAAAATGGTGATGTGGATAGAGAGGATTCAAGACCTTTCACATGGTACAATTTAAGCTGCATGCCCTCTTTCTTCTGCCTTGGATCCTTATCTGAAAAGTGAACTATTTGTAAGGTTAATATGATCAAACTCATCATTTCATTATAATATTGAAAACAAAACTCAAGATTGCTTTCTTTTTATAGACACCAGAGGTAATATTCTTGTAAACTAAAACAAAATTATCTATACAGAAAAGGAAACTTGACAGCAGTAATACAATCTAACTCAAGAACTGGTTAACAAGCCACTGAAATGCATGCCTTGAACTTCCACAACAGAGGATGCTGTAGCAAGATGTGCAGAGAAAACCAGAAACCAAAAGATGGTCATCTTGTACACCTCACTTGGCAACTTCTGCAACATTGGTTTTGGAATGGCTTTAACTCTTGTCTAAGTTGTAGCCAAACCGACACTTTTCCTACAAGAAAAACGATCAAGGGGTGATGCTCTATTTCTTAAAGGTCTTTCTTTTATAATAAAAATATGAAATGAAAAAATAAAACATTTAATGTCTGAGGAAAATGAAAAGTGTTTGATATTTACCATAGAAAGAAAGTGGGAGAAGTAATAGAAAGATGTTATACGAGGATTTGGAATCACTCAAAAATAAATAGCAGGCTGGCAGAAGTTCAAAGGAGTTTCCTTCAGTATCTGCATAGTGAATGCTTTAAATGTCCTCCAACCCAAGGAGCTCACACAGCTCGTGAATTACAATGGAGTAACTAGAAACATGGTCCACTATGACCCTATGGTATTAATATTATTCTTCATGATAGATTAAAGTTGTTACAACAGTATCTTAAATACTGAGCACCTACATTACACCTACATATACTTTTTCAGTAATAACAGTGTTAATATCATTAATCACATAACTTCAACCAAGCAAAAGTGAACAGGAGAGGAAGAAGAATAACCATGCTTGCTGAAGATAAATTTCTGATAGTGAAGCTCTATCTTTTCTAGCTCAATGAATGAGAATGGATAAGGCAAGATATCAAAAGGTCATAAACTGTGACCAACATGTTCTGCCTCTGCTATATTTATTAACTTTTAACTGCATGAAATGTTACCTTGTAAAGTGTCTTCAAAATATTTTAATATTTTTGATGTTTTAAATATAAACAATATTCAGTAAAGGGAAAAGAAAAAACAGTAGAGAATATGAGATCTGAAAATATACCATACCATGATGAGATATTAGTTACCAAGGTGTTTGTCGGCAGAAATTCATTAATGATAGGTGTAATCATAATTAGCTGTTGATGAGAGTTCCAATGAGTGTAGGAGTTGACATGACATGATGATTTGGCCTTCATTTAAAGCCTTATTACTTGTAAAAAACTGATGAAAGAGACATGAAACTGCAATCTGTACCACAGTATTAATCAAGGAGGAAACGTTGCATAGTGAAGAGTGCTTAGCCATATCACATCAGTAGCTACTAGCTGCTTGCTACATAAGAACAAAAGTACTCTCTTTTATTATAAACCAGAAATCAAGGTTTTTTTTGCCTTGATTATGTTCATTGGGGCCATTAGGGTACACTGCCTTTGTATATCTTCCATTGGAAGAAGTTTTGTTTGATTCAAATAGAACCATTAGTTAAATTGAAACTGTTGACTGATCCGGGTATTTGATGTAGACCAGTGAAGTGTTTTTTTGGGATAAAAATTGAATGCATGAAAGTTAGTTGAATCAAATTAAACTTTTTAAAATAATTTATTTAATTTAAAAATCATAAGGTAATAGACAATTTAAATATGTATTGAGTAGCTATTGTAAGGAATTGCATTTATAAGATTAAATATATTTTAATTATTTAATTTTGAATAAAAATTCAAATTAGTTTTTTTCAAAAAGTCTATTTTATTTTTCCAATTTTAAAAATATATGGATTTATTAACTAAATTTACTTACCATTTCAATAAGGATAAACAATTATTTAATATCACATGTCAATTACATTATCACCTTTTGGGGTTTTTAACACCAATTTAAAGAAAATAACTACATTAACTCCTTTTATCCAATATGAAAAAAAAATGAGAAATCACATAAATAATTGTCAATTATTGATACAAAAGTAGTACAAAACCTAAAATTAAATAAGTTTATCTAGAATGAAAGCATATTGAAAGTTGGTCTTTTAAATTTAGTTTTTTAAAGTATAAATTGAAAACTTATTTTGAACTTAATAATTGATATAATTTTTTATATAAATATGTCTCGAATATATCATAATTAACGAGGATAATAATAAAATTACAGTATGTCATACCTTAAAATATTTCCCATCGAGAAATGAAGATATTAAATCACAGAGAAACATAAGAAATTTGGAATCATGAAAGAGTGAACCATGAATTCTTCATATATTATCTAAATGAAATTAAAAAGGTTTTGACATATTATACACCAAAGGAATCCAAGAAAGAAAACACCAAGAATTCATCGCCGAAATGCATTACCTTCACCACCAGACCTGCCTTGAGAATAGTATGTCCGACGACGAACACTCTCAGCTATAGATGCACTTCCCCCTTCCCCTGCACCATACACACTTTTCTGAGTACTGTCCAAGAAATTCTTGCCGCCAGCGTTATTACTCTGGACTACTTCACGTGCATCAGACTCCTCGGCCTTCTTTATACGTTTCCATCTCTGCTCTTCATGCACTTCGGCAGCCAATTGCATCTGCCTCAGTTTCTCAGCCCGCTCTTCCTCTGAAAGCTTAGGAGCCACGTTTCTGCGTTTGTATCCACGTTCATGTGAAGAAGCTGAATATCTATTGGAGCTTGTTTCAGAAAATCGCTCACCTCCGCTTTTAGGAGCATCTATATTGGACTTATCTTCTGAAGCATATCTTTCTGACATAGACCTATTATAATTCCCGTCACCACCGTCTTCTTTGTAATCTTTGCCATTTCTTTGTCTCTGTTGGTGACCGGGTGATCTTTCTCTGTATTTTCTATCTTCATAGTGATTCCTCCTTCTCTTTCCTCCATCACTTTCATACCCTGGATTTGATTGAGCGTCATAGACACTCCTTTCTGACTTGGACCTGCCATGATTTCTGTCATCAGCACCTTCTTCGTAGTCTTTGCCCTTTCTCTGTCTCTGTTGGTGGCTGGGTGATCTTTCCCTGTATTTTTTGTCTTCATACCGATCCTTCCTTCTATTTTCTCTTTCACCTGATTCATACCCTGAATCAGATTGAGCCTTATTATGCTTGTTGTCAATATCTTCATTATCGGTCCTTCTTTTCCTCCCTTCTGTAGGGTCATCTTCTGAATCAGAGTGTTTTTTATGCTTTGATTTACTAGAACGATGTTTCTTCCTCTTTTCCTTTTTATGTGCTTTCTCCTTGTGATCAGTTCCTTCAATCTAACAACAATACCAGGCATTATTAAGACAGGACCTAAATTAGAAACAACATTAAACAAAAGGTCTTACTGAAGGTAAACCATAACAATTGTTTTCATCATCCTACCATGTCAACGCAATTTAAAGATTCTTCAAAATCTAAACGTAATCAGCTAATCACAGAAGAAAAAATAAAAGGCCTAGACGAGTTAGCAAAAAGCAATGCAATTCTTAAATTTCATAGAATTATACACCAATATCAGACAGAAGCAAAAGTCACTACGAAAGAGGGCAACAACCTCAAATTGCATGGACACTTACATCGCTGCTATGGGCTCAGGTTTGCACACAAGGGTGAAAGTAATCCATTATTCACAGTCCAATCAATCCATCTATACTTAAATATAATCCAAAAAATTGGGCCAGGGGGGAGTAGAGGGTTGCAAAAGGAACATGGATTACTGTAGTTTTCCCCCTAAAACCAAGGATTATTAAATTATAGAAAATGGATCGAGTGATTATTCTTCCTATTGCTAGTGAAAGTCCATTACTATGTGATCCAGACTAGGTGGGAGAGGAACTTTAAAAATTAACACACGTTTAACAGTGTTTAGCTAGATGTGAGAGAAATTTTAAAATTAAGATATTCTTTCTTCTAGTGTTTGGTTAGAAGTTCAGACTGCATGGCAAGGGAAATTAGGAGGCCAAAATCCCTCCCAGCAACTTATGCCTCCCCTTTCATATTGAAGGGGTTTTATTTCCCTCTCCCCTCCTCAGTTCCCCCGAAACAATTTTTTTAAAACAAAAATAGCATATCTTAAGCATAAGCATAACTGGTATGAAAGGGAACAATAATCCACGCCTAAGTTGTTAATTCCGGCAATGGCATCTCATTTTAAATAATAAAAAAAAGGAATAAAAAGACTTACCGATTTCTTTATCATAGCCATCTTAACAGGATTGTTTTTTATCTTTGCGAGCGCCTCCTGCTCACGTTGGCGGATCATGAGCAAGGGGTCAGAATGGAGTTTCCTCCAAGCATCATTGGCAGACTGAGGCTTCTCCTCAAACAATGCTCCAGGCACACTTGCCCCCTCCTACAGCAAACAAACCCATTCAATCATAAGTAAACCAATTCACAGCAAACAAAAACCCTACCCATAATAAAAACAAAAACCTTAGCAGTTCACAACACACCTTAGAAGCAGAGGAGCTTGGCGCATCCGTCCCATCGGATTTCGGCAACTGTTCAAGTGCCTTGAATCCTTCGGAATTGGAAGATTTCCCGACGGACAATCCCGAATCATACAAAAACTCCAACCGCTCCTGGTGCCTGCAATCAAACAGAAACAAGGAAATCAGAAATAAAAAAACGAAAACCCTAAAGAATCGAAAATTAGGAATTGAATTGAATTGAGAAAGAGAAATTACGGAACGAGGCCAGCTTTCTCCTGAAGAAGACGAAACTCGGTGCGCTCTCTCTCCTCCTGGATCTGTTTGCGAAGCTCCTCCAACTTCTTCTGCTCCGCTTCATGCTTCTGTTCAGCCTTCCACACGTTCTCTATGTTCCTCAAACTCCCCGTGTGCCATCCCTTCTTGTTCAAAAATTTCAACGCCATTTCTCTCTCTCACTGTTTCGACGATTGGATTTCAGAAACAAAGCACAACGTAAAACCCTAAAAAGAAGAAAGATAAACGAAACGATGTGGGATGTCGATGCGATGGTGATGTACTTTTTCCACTGCCTACAGATTCACGAAATTATATATGATATATGTAATATGTAATTACAATTAAAGAGATGCATTCAACTCAATTCAAAATACCTTTAGGCCAAAAAAAGCACAAAGATTAAGATTATGTAATGATGTAATATTTTTTTAATAGTTTATGTTTTGTATTTTGTAGAAAGAATTTTATAGAGTACACGAATTTAAAGAATTTTATGTATTTTAAAAAAACAAAAATAGTATTTTATCTTTTATGGGAAAAATAAAAGGTTTATTATCTTGTTGTACAAATTAAGGGAATCAATATGCCTTTTAGTAGGTGATAATGTTGATATTAGCTGTATTATCCAATATGCAAATAATATTTGATAGATTATATGTTGTAATTGACCAAAACTAAATTTGTAAGCAGTAGATTTCAAAATAACTACTATATTATAGTTAATAACGCAATTTTTTTATTAAAAAAATATAAAATAAGTACATATTACAATAATTAATTGATGTTTATTGATGAGTGTATATTTATGGTCACATTTTAGATTTAATTTCAAAATTTTAGTGGAATAATTGTGCTTAAATGATTGATTTGAATAAGATTTTACATAGCTTTATCGGGTTTGGGAATTAAAGAGGCTAAAAATGTGATTTTAATTGCATAAATTATTTTAAAGAGTCTAATGTTTGTTGATGAAGTTGCAATAAAAGTTTGAATTACAATTTTGAAAAGTAAGAAAAGGCTAAAGTGCAATTAGAGAAATTTTTTGGACTTTTGTGCAATTTTGAATAAAATAAAAAGAGATTTCGGCAAGTTCAAATATGTTAGATATTTTAAAAGATAATTTGGAGAAAATATATCTTAAGATATTTTATTTGATATTGTTAATAATTATCTTATTTAACTATATCAATAAATATAAAAAAGATAATTGTTGGAAGTCCCACATCGACTAGAGATAAGACCAATTCTTAGTTCTAAGTGGGTGCAAACCTCATCCTACAAATCGGTTTTGTGGGGTTGAGTTAAGCTTAAAAGTCCACTACTAACATGGTATCAGAGTCATGGTTAGAGCATATCCTAACGAGTTCTAAGTAGGCATTTTATTATTTTATTCCACCCGCTATCGGGCCGTTATCGGACCACCCAATTTCTACTATCATGCACGAGATGTCTATACCTCGACGTGAAGGGGTGTGTTGGAAGTCCCATATCGACTAAAGATAAGGCCAATTCTTAGTTCTAAGTAGGTGCAAACCTCACCCTACAAGCCGGTTTTGTGGGATTGAGTTAGACTTAAAAGTCCACTAGTAACAATAATATTTGTCAAATCTATTTGAATCTAGACAAGATATTATCAAATATTTGAATATTTGGAAGATATTAAATATAAGATAAAAGATCTTATCAATAGAAGATTCAGAGTCCAACCCCAATCAAGCCAATACAAAGAGACCTAGGAAAGACAGAAATCATAACTCATTTATTCTCAGACTCTTCCATTGAAGCAAGCATCCATCACTCCTCTCACTTTTATTTCATCATGTGTTTCACTCTATTCATGGAGGACTAAGCTTTTAGGGCTATTCCAGTGTAATTTCATTATGGATTATGAGGTTAAGTTGAATTAATGAATTAGTTTCTTTTTATTATTGATTTGAGTTATTCATATTCTATGTCTTTCATCTCTCAATCATATTAAAAGCAATGATTTTTGCATCATAAATCTACATGCATATCATATGAGTTCAATAGGTTTGATTGAGAATCTACTTTGATTAAATTTAGGAACTTTCATATTATTAAACAACAGGTTTTTGCTATCAATTAAGAATGTAGTTTGATTGGTGGAAATAATTGAGAATTTACTTTGATTATATAACTTTTAATTTGGTTGGGAGATTTAAGAATAGACATGATTAAACACAATAGAATTTGATTGAGAATGTACTTTGGTTGAATTCATTGACAATAATATAAAAAGGTATTGCATTTGATTGAAAATCTACTTTGGTTAACTACATGATGACCCTAAGATTAATTAAGAATGTACTTTAGTTAATTTGAAACTTAAAGAATAATCAATTGAACAATGATATGTGGATAACCGATAATGAATCTTTCTTAGGAAAGCAGTCGAATTAGCTTATTTCATTATAATTGTTTCTAAGTTTTCTCTTTGTTCTTCAAACATTAATTCTATGAGCATAGTTTTCTCACTTTTATTCTTGAGCATTGTATTCGTTGGAAGACGAATAAGGTTATTTTAACCCTATCTACTTTATTGAATACTACTTGACAATACTGAAGTTGTCTTAAAAAATAGTATTAATTTAGCGTTTCATATTTTATTATTATTATTATGTATGTAACATTTCTGTATGAATATAAAGTAATAATAGTACGCAGGAATTAACATTTTTTCTGGTTTTTGGTATCGAGAAGTAATAGAAAAATAGAGGTGTGTGAATAGGGAAACTATAAATTTGATTACAAAATCCATAAAAAAATGATAGAAATAAGCAATAAAAATACAAACTCATTTACAATAAAAAAATATATACACTAACAAAAAGAGTAATTTTATCACTTTTTAATTGAAATGGCAGAGTATGGTTTATGTAAACTATCTTTAAGTAATTTATAAAGAAAAAAAGAATTATAATACGTCACAAATTTCTTCAATAATCAAAGTTATTTTGTACATTTTAAAGTGATGTTTCTGTATAAATCCTATTTTATATCTATTATATATTATTTATGGTGTAATACTAAAAACGCAAGTTTATGTAATACTCCGACTGTATAAAATTTCATATTATTTTTTTCCTTTTCCTTTTGTTGTTTTTCATGAAATTCATAATAGCTACATTTTTTATTTATTGACCACAAATGAGTTCAGATCCTATTGTTAAAATTCAATTATGAGAATGTTATGGTTGATAATAAATATTTAAAAGCTCAGTAAGTTAAATCATCACATAAATATAAGTCAAGTTAGAAAAAAACATATTTTTGTTGATTTAACAATCATATACAGAGAGAAACATGAGTTGAAAACGTCAATAAAGAATTAAATAGGAATAATATGGAGTTACACATATGAAATATATATATTCAATACTTAAATAGAGAGTGTGTAAATTTTTTAACTATAAATCAAACTCGTAAGAAACCATGGTGGTTAGAACTTGTAATTAATGTCAGTTTTGTAATCATCATACTAATTATATAGTACAAGGTTTCCAACATCATGTGTGTATGAATGAATGTGGTTTTAGCTGCAAAAAGGAAATAACACCACTCTGCAAACATTTCATTCCATTCATTCAAGGACAAAGTGTCCTATTACTATTATTGGGGCATCCTATGAGTGTGAAATGGGGAAGAGATGGTGACTAGGCTGAAAGCCTGAGACTTACATTGATAAGAATACAATGGTTGTGGAACTTCTTGAGAAAACAAATTTTACGTATGATCATGTTCCTTTCTTCCCCCTTTCTCAACTAATGGAAAAAGAATGTGTACACATATATGAATCCGCAGGTCTTGTACTGTTGATGCTCCTTCATCAGCTATCAACATTAGATGTGGGTAGGACTTCCACAACTAACTTTCAATTGTGTTATCAGTTCTTGGTTGTTATTCTTTTGTTCTTATTCTCAAGGAAAAATGAATGCATTTGGATCTGTTGACTCCTTAAGCAGCACTCCTCCACCTGAAAATTGGCTTCAAGATATGAAATAAACTGCAGGAGATAAACAGTCCCCGACTCAACCATTACTAGAGCAGGACAAACCTGTGATTTGTATGTCTTTGACAATAAATCTCCACATTCTCCAACAAGTGCTCTTTCCCCTCCAGCAATTCTGGCTAATTCTGAAATAGAACTATCTAGTTCTTCTGCCTGAGTTTGACATAGTTTTATTATCAGTGCCACATGCATTATGTACGATTTAACTTAACTGGGTATTCTTAAGTGTATTTTTCTTCATAAGTTTTAGAGAACCTCATCTTTTAAACCCCATATTGTTATTAAAAGTGGTTCAAATTGGTCCACAACCCTATATTACATATAGAGATTTTACTTAATTTTCTTAATATTTATATCAATTCATTGCTTGGTATATTACATAAATTAAATATATATTTTACTCTTACACATTCAACCACAATTTAACCAGTAAACAGTGAAGTGAGATTTAATTACTAGCCCAATTTTGACGACACTGCTAGACCCTTTTGGCTACATCACTAAGTAAAAAAAAAGTAAGGAGAAAGCTCCATTCTTTCATTTTGTCTCACCTTGGGCACGAATCTTTGGATGTTGGAAATCATTGTTTCCAACATCTTCAATGCTGAATTAAGAGCATCCCCCACCTCTCTTGCATCAACCTGTGGCATAATATATTTTTGTGAGTTTGACCGTGCAGACAATTTCCCGTGAATAAGCATACTATAAAAGAAAACAAACACCATCAGATAATCAACAACAAGCATGAGATGGGGATTAAAAATCATACTCTAACATGCCCACCAACTGGAAGTTGCACTGAGGTATTCACTAAAGCCTGAATTGCTTCAGTAATCGAGACTGAATATTCTTCCGTCATAGTCGACCACTCATCTAGATATGGAATCTGTAATTTAATCCAAGGAAATATACAAATTACTGAAACTGATTATTACTGTAACTAAAATGATTGTTCATAAAGCATACTTAGAGAAGAAAGGCTCCTTGATCAATTGACTAAATGTCATCATTATGGAATTCATGGGTATCATCTACTTAATTCCACTTCAACACACACACACACACACATACTAATTGCATGAGTTGGTTACGTAGGAAGGAACAGAATATAGGCATATATAGATACCACAAGAAGTCAACAAACAATTGTCTTTTCTTCACAGACTGGAAACATTGCTCTCGGGACATGAATGCAAATTTATAAAAGTAAGCTTTCAGAAGTATTGGTAGCCTTACTTGAGCTTCAATAATACTTGTCAAAGTCTTTGATCTCCGCAAAAAATCCAGTTCTATGCGTTTCTTGTTTACAGACTCACGCATTTCTGATATTTTCATTGCTTGAGAATATAGTGCTTTCTGCAAGGAACAAGAAGAGGAAAAACAACAAATAGATCAGTGAAACGGATTCAATTGTACAGTATAGTCAAATACTTGAAGCTAATAAAATATATCTTAGCCAACTGAAATTGCTGAGCAGTTCATACCAAGACTTACAACATGAAGACCATATCAATTTTGCAAAAATATAATTTGAAATAAAACAAGACTCAAATGTTCGGTAAATGAGGATGTGATGGACAGCTCATACTCAGGTAAGCAAGGAAGCACTCGAAAAACTTATTTGAACTTGTGGAAGTAGTTTATGAATATGCTCTAATTGAAAAGGTGCTTAATTATGCTGTTCACTATAACTAAGCCACATCGTCCAGTAGTCACAACAACCACAAACTAACTCGTGATGTAAGGTGCTCCAGGGGAAAAAGTTAGCAACAATGTCTTTCACGACACAATCAATGTCATTTTAGCATTACCCCATGTCCAGTTTTTGCAGTGTAACTAAAACAGTGGTCCACCTTCTAACTCAATCAAAACAACCTTCCCAAGTATCCTCTTCTTGTTCTATCCCTCTGGACTCCAAAGAACCATGATCATAAAAACAAACTGTCTAGCCAGATGATTGCAATTTTCTGTTGTACCATCACGACCACTATAACATTTGTAATTTACTGACCAATATGAAAGTGGAAGGGTGACTAACCTGGCTTTCTACTTGCTGAGCCTTCATAGTGGTGTGCCCTTTTGCATTGGCAAATCTCCATTGCAAATAACGATTATATAACAATCTAAGGGAATGTACATCTTCCTGATGACCAGACCCTTTCTTCCCTCTCCTCACATCCACTGCTGGCTTTAAACTCTGAGGCGGGACAGGAGGCAAACTAAGCCCCCCTGACTTAGCTAACTGATTTCCATTCCCATGCTGCTTGGAGACTGAAGAAGGAGGCTGCTTCTCAGTTCCAGAAGAAGGTAAATTAACCGACCGGGACAATGGCGAAGGGTGGCGAAATTTCAAATCCCCGCCATTACTACCCCCAATTATCTCACCCACAGATAAATTGGACTGAAGCAACAAATCCCTATCCCCCAATTCAGGAAGTGACTGAACACTGCAGTTCACCCCAGAATCATCACTGGAGCAAGCAGCATTAGGCTTGACCTGATTCAACCCACTGGCTTGCATCAATTTCTCAGCAGCTGAAGCCATGCCATTTGCAAACCTATGATGGTGATGGTTACTATGGTGTTGTTGTGAGAGTCTATACCTTGAAGACACGTAAACCGAGGGAGTGGGAGTGCCAGGCCTAGGAACACAAGGTGTAGAATTGCCGCTGCCGATTCTGCCAGAACACGATTTTGAAGGGTGTGGCGGAACCTGTTCGTGTCCGTTGTTGTTCTCTTTGAAAAGCTTCATGGAACGTTGTGGTTGTTTTCTCTGAGAGACAGAACATCCCATTGGAAATGGGGTTTCGGAGTTCTCGTCGACGCAGGGATCGGGCTCCATCCGGGGACGGCGCTGCACGGCGGGGGACATGAACCGGGAGCTGACCTCTCGGACCCTCGGCCGCCGCTGGTTGGGGGGTGGAGGAGGCGGCGGAGGGGCGGTGAGATCGGAGTTGTCCTCTTGCATGATCTGAACCTGCACCATCGAAACCCCAAATGGATGAAAGTGGATAGTTATGGGAGGGAACAGTGGTGGGTGTGAAAGAGATGTGCGGAAGTTTTGAGTGATTAGGGGAGAAGATGGAAGGGTTTGGGTTGGAATGGAAGGAGAAGTAGCCGTTGGGGATGTGTGTTTACGTTGTAACGGTTCTAATTTCAAATTTCGATAAAGAGTTTTTTTTCTTTTTAATGTTAGTTTTTGTTGCGTGTTGTTTCGGAATGGGTAATAAATAATGCCACTTGTTTCTCGTCAAACATATTTATTTGGGATAGGAGCCTTTCTGATTTCTGCTATGACTGGCCTTTGGTTCATTTATAAAACAGGACTGTTAATGTTCATGTGATGAAGGGTATGTGGTATAACTATGGTCATTTTATCTTGTAGAAGAATAAAATGTAGGAATTTTTTTACCAAAATATTTTTTTTATTATTTACTACTGTAATTATTGAATAAGGTGACTTTAGAGAGATTAAAGTTTTGGTTTTGACATGGAAAGAGAGGCTTCTGATATAACTTAAGGGCTGGCAGGCTTCCATCATTAGTTCAAAAACAAATACGTGCACAGTGAATTTTATTTTACTTAACAAATTTATGATTTTCCCCCTCTGAAATTATATTTTTAATTAATTCGTTCTATATTTTTTATGCTCCATACATCAATAATCTTTTGTAGTTTTTTTTTAATATTATAATAATAATAACTATATACATTTTAAGTAATTAATTATGATAAAGTTTTGGGTATATTATTTATTAAAAACGAAATCAGTAAACCAAAACTTTTGCTCCAAAATCAATATAGTTAAATTGCTAGAGTCTGCCAATTCGCTTGAGAAAAACTTATGCCGTTTCGTTTCTGTAAAAATATTCAAAACACAATTACTTCATTCTAAATCCTCGTTTAACTAAATTTTACAAAATGAAAACCATCTAAGATTTAAAATTGCACTCTACTTACACAATCATTTGAACGCCCTGAAAATTTAAATGCGTCTGTGCCAATTACTATTCGCCAATCTTAAATTACCTGTAAAAGGACTCATCCATAGTTCATGATGTATTTATTTTGTGATATAATTTTCCATGAGTGTATTCATTTTTAGATTATATAATTTCACTGTCACAATGGTGGGGTGAACAAGAATTTTCTCTAAGTAAGAAAACCTGTATAAATGCATGTGTGGTGGTGAGATCCAAATTATCAAGTGCCTGGAATATGCTACATCTGCCGAGATGATGTTGTCCAAACTCCAACCTAATGAGATTTCACATTCTCAATCGTACAAGTCGGAATAATGTAGGAGGTAAATTCGATCCCTGTATCGTGCCAATTCCTACGAGCTATCTATAAATTGCGTAACGGAAATTCTGTACAAAAGCGCATGCAGTATGTTGTCTGGAAGGAATCATGTCGAATAACGGTTCTGCCCATGAAATCCCGATGTAAAAGGCTCGGCTGTCAAAATCAATAACAAATTGCAGTAATATAGTTAATGTTAAAAAAAAAAAATTACTTCACAGTAACACACCTAAAAACACTCATTACCTTAGAAAAAAAGTCAAAAGTGAAATAATTATTTAAGCACTTCTAACTACAAATTATACTGAATAATACTCAACCTAAGGATGTACGAACACGTCTAAATGGGCTCACGAATGGCCGTATCCTACATTGCACATACTCTCTACATACTTGTAGACTCATCCTATAAAAAAGAATTTACCTTTACTTTTTTTTACACTAATATACTTTTACTTTTTAAACATATACTGATAGAAATTGCATTTCCATAATAATTAAACAAAACTGTAGCATTTTAATAACGTCTACAAATTCATGATCATTTTTAAACATAAAAGTTCTCCCAATTTAATATTTTTATATTAACTTTATATGTAATATTTTTTTATTAGCAATTTTATGTGATATCTTAGCCAATTTTGTCCTACGATTTTCAAAACCTATCATATACCCATGTAATATCTTGCTTCCTATTGCACCTATTTACTTCTATTTTTCAGTGAGAATGACAATTTTCCATAAAACTTACCTTCATCATCTTCATCTCCATTTTGAACTGTAAAGAATGGGGTGAGGTAGTTTTTATCAATTGCTGTAAAGGATGCAGCACTGCAATAAAGAAGCAAAGAGAAATTAGACTGGCAATATCATTACATATCTAGCCATATTTACAGTTTCAGAACATATACAATACCTCTTGTGGAATTCTTTTAGCTTCATCTTGATTTTGTTCCCTGAAGATGACTCTTCATTGTAAGGAGGAGCAATATAACCATTGTTTCCATCAAAATTCTTGCAAAAAAACAAAAACAAAAGACATTATTTGAAAGAGAATCAATTAAATAAGTAGATTCATTCATATCCATTGTCGGAGTCATTTTGGGACTGTCAGAATTCAGTGATCTAATTTAGGAATAAAACAAACAATTTGATAACAAAAATTCATTACAGGACATGGAGACTTAAAATTCAAATCACACACAATAAGAACTTTGCAAGTGCCATGAAGCTTGTTTTACCCAGCCATCAGTTTAGTATGGGATAATTAAACCAAACACTTGCTACTTGGTTGGGCATGCTTGGCAAGTAGAATTCCATCATCCAGGAAAATCTTCACCCTCTACTTCATAGGAAAGGAGTTTCTTTTTAGTCTCTCTCTACAATCCTCTCTACAATCTTGTGGTCAATAACTTACAACTTTGGACGCAAGTCATTCATAAACATAATCATTATTTCAATGCATGCTTTCACTTCTTTCTACATCAAATGTACCATATTATTTCTACCAAAAGAAAGTTGTCCTCCCAAAAAGGAAAAGTTACTTTTATACATAGCTAGAAACTAGATCCACCCAAGTCTTATTAGTCAAGAATAAGACCCTCATCCTACATAACCATCACTAAATGACTAAACCAAAATGATATATGCATGACTAACAGACAGAAGTTACAATTAAGTCATAAATCCAACCTACTATCTAGTATCTGGTCTTTCATCTTCCAAATAGTGATGTGTGATGCTTCCAAAAGCAAATTTCAAGGTAAAAGACATGCAAGAAACTCCATAAAAGTAGAATACACAAAAAACAATGTCTTAAATGGCATTATTTGTTGTAAAACTTACTGTAATAGTACCAACTGAAGACAAAGGGCTATCATTATCACCACCTACAACATCTAGAGCTTCCAGCATGGTACCTGTTGAACCACCAATTAGCAATACCTGAAAAAAATAATGTTTGGTGTTGAAATTACTGCTCAGGGATGGGAATTAAACAAAAGCTGGGGATAAAAGTTACCTACCAGCTGATAACCCAAATAAGAAAATTAAGTGAATAGGACCAATCTTTAACAACACGTCACTGATCTTATATTACTTATCCAACTCATATTCTTATCTTCCCTACAGTCGGTTGTTGCCCATATAGGCACTGTGTATGCAAATAGTAGTTATAATGTATACGATATATGCAACATGGTCAAGTACCTTATACTTCCCCCATATTTATTTTTTACAGTAATTAGCTAAATGGATGGACAAGAGTGTGCCTACCGTCAAGACAACTATTGCAGTAGTTGCAGTAAAGATGGTCTGTCCATGTCCTTCTGGAAGATCATGAACGGATTGCAGAGCAAGCGCAAAAGCCATTGCTCCTCGAAGTCCTATTCACGTGCACAAGGTGAACAAATTAGGCATGGCATTATAGAATGTGCCAGAGGCAGGAAGCGGTTTATTTCATAGACAGAATTAATCAACCTTTCACAGTAAATAACATGATTTATGTTTTGTTCAATTTCTTACCACTATACCAAAGTGCCTTCTGATGTTTTGGAGGTATCTTTCGATGACTGGGTCTGACCAGATTGACTAAATAAGCACAAGAAAAGACATTTGCAGCCCTGCCCATAGCAACCCACGAATATAATTTACAACTTCTAAGAGAAATGAAAAAGTATAAATATGCTTAAAATGCACGAGAATAGTTACTGTAGAGAAACTATCCAAAATGCCAGAAATGAGCATGTGCCACAGTAATAAAAAACATAAAATGATATCAATCAGTATAAATTAAATACCTCGCAATTCCAATAAATATCTGAAGGGATTATTATATGGGTTAAGGAAGAAGCACCGAGAAAAGAATAAAACCCCTAAGGTAATATAAATAACATATCACTACACTTCCAATTTGTGGGCCAAAAAGGATACAATGGAGAAGAATATAAATCCAACGTGTGACCAGCTATGTTGCTCCATAGCAATATCAAAGCCCATGTATATAAATCTGTACAACATAAGACAAAAGGTGTGCACATATCATTCACAGAAAATGTCTAAACACCACAGGGTAAGTACCACAAATGAAATTCTCCTTACACAAATGTTTCAGCTAAAGATGATATCAACTCGAAGAAGGCTGAAGCAAATCTTTGAGAACTTTGTGACAAATTGGAATACGCATAGTGCTTCATGACCTAAAACAAAACACAAGAATACTAATAAAGATGTCTTAACATAGACATGAAACACAGAATATGTGTGTGTGTATGGATCAAATTACACCATGTAAGTTATGCCAAATGTTACACCGTTCAATATCTTGCGCTTGGATCATATTTTTTTTAAAAGTCATTATTAGATTGAAAGTTTCTATCACATAGATCACATATTCAAAACTTCATATTAATCTAAAATTATTTGATGCATCTATTATATAGATTAAGATTGAAGTGATTATCAAAATATACTAAAATATTAATAATTTAATTGTCTTGTTATTGTGGTTCAATGTTAACAAAATTACACATGAATAATCACAATGATATTAATTTATAATTTAAAGCTTGGATTGACAAAATTCACATTTTATATAAAATTATTAACGGTGTAATATTTGGTGTGACTTACAGCAATGTAATTTAATCCCTCCTTGAATACGTGTGTAAATAATATGCACTTACTATTCCAGTGAACAGTATTGAAACAATACCAGACAGACCAAGGCCTTCAGCAAGCATGTACCTAAAAAGGAAAATATTTTTGTATTGTTTTACATCATGAATGAAAGTTGAGAAAATTGTATGAAACTTATGAACAAACGATCCAAGAATACATCTTACGAGAAATATGGGAAAAGGACAAATAGACAGCTCTCCAAGTTCTGAAGGCTGGATGGAACCATAAATTCTTCTGATCAGTTTATTCCAAACATGATGTAATCATCAAACAACAAAT